CCGCCCCTGCGTCCCCCACCCGTCTTACCCCAGCACCCTCCACCCCCTGTCTTGAACCCCTCCTGCCCCCTGCCCTTCCCTCCCGCCCCTGCGTCCCCCACCCGTCTTACCCCAGCACCCTCCACCCCCTGTCTTGAACCCCTCCTGCCCCCTGCCCTTCCCTCCCGCCCCTGCGTCCCCCACCCGTCTTACCCCAGCACCCTCCACCCCCTGTCTTGAACCCCTCCTGCCCCCTGCCCTTCCCTCCCGCCCCTGCGTCCCCCACCCGTCTTACCCCAGCACCCTCCACCCCCTGTCTTGAACCCCTCCTGCCCCCTGCCCTTCCCTCCCGCCCCTGCGTCCCCCACCCGTCTTACCCCAGCACCCTCCACCCCCTGTCTTGAACCCCTCCTGCCCCCTGCCCTTCCCTCCCGCCCCTGCGTCCCCCACCCGTCTTACCCCAGCACCCTCCACCCCCTGTCTTGAACCCCTCCTGCCCCCTGCCCTTCCCTCCCGCCCCTGCGTCCCCCACCCGTCTTACCCCAGCACCCTCCACCCCCTGTCTTGAACCCCTCCTGCCCCCTGCCCTTCCCTCCCGCCCCTGCGTCCCCCACCCGTCTTACCCCAGCACTCCTCACCCCTTGCCCTGAACCCCCACCTCCTGCTTCCCCCACCAGCCTGACTCCAGCACCCCCATCCCTTGTCCTGAGTCCCTCACCATTCCACCTGACTCCAGCACTCCCCATCCCCTGCCCCGAGCCTTTCACCCCCTGAGTCCCCCAGCCCCACTTTACTCTAGCACTCTCCACCCCCTGCCTGACTGTGGAACCTCCCATCCCCTTGTCCCGGCACAACCTTGCTTGAGGTTAGGCTGAGAGGAAGCTAAATGCCACCGTTGGTGGTCCTAGCTTTTACCCATTTCTGAGGTGTTCTTGGAGAGACACAAACACAGACACCCAGACAGACACATGCTCTCAGATAGAGCAGAGTTTCCATACCCTGAGCACTGTCGCTATCTGGGCTACGAAGCACTTGGAAGAACAGTGAGCTGAGGAGGAGGAAATTGGGCATGGAAGGGTGAAGAGACTGGGTTTACAGAGTGAGTCAGTGTTCCCAGAAATGCAAACTGAGGTACCTGAAATTACCCCATAACCACTCTCCTGGCAATTCAACACCCACTTGCACGCATACACACACATACACTCGGAAATCCACACACACACACACACACACACACACACACGCACGCACATACAGTTATGTCTAGACTACACTGGACAACAGAGCCATGACGGCTCAGTAGGACAGGGTCGGGCGGGTGGATCCCAATGCCCTAGCCTGGCACTAGGGGGCACTGAGGGGCTGGGCCAGGAGGGCTCTGTAGGACAGGGTCAGGCGGGTGGATCCCAATACCCCAGCCTGGCGCTAGGGAGTGCTGAGGGGCTGGGCTGGGAGGGCTCTGTAGGACAGGATCAGGCGGGTGGATCCCAATGCCCTAGCCTGGCACTAGGGGGCGCTGAGGGGCTGGGCTGGGAGGGTGCTGTAGGATGGTCTCAGGTGGGTGGATCCCAATGCCCTAGCCTGGCACTAGGGGGCGCTGAGGGGCTGGGCTGGGAGGGCTCTGTAGGATGGTCTCAGGTGGGTAGATCCCAATGCCCTAGCCTGGCACTAGGGGGCGCTGAGGGACTGGGCTGGGAGGGTGCTGTAGGACAGTGTCAGGTGGGTGGATCCCAATGCCCCGGCCTGGCACTAGGGGGCGCTGAGGGGCTGGCCCAGGAGGGCTTTGTAGGATGGCATCAGGAGGGACTGAGGAGAAGTTGAGGGCAGGAGTCTGGGGGTGGGGGGTGCAGGCGTGAGGATTTGGGGTGCAAGAGTAGCTCGGGGGAGGCATTTGTGGGGGGGAGGGTCCCAAGTCAGGGTTTGGCAATGACGAGGGGGTCAACCTGGGGGGCATAATTCTGGAAGTGCAGGAGTGCGAGTTTGGAGGTGAGGGCCTCAGAGGCGGGGAGGGAGGTGCAGGACTCAGGCCGGGGGGCTGGGAGGTCAGGGCAGGGCTTGCTGGGGCTGCCCGTGGTGGTGAGGGTGTCTCTGCTCTGGTCTCTTCAAGGTTTGGGCAGGGCGACCCCTCCCAAGGCCCATGACGGACGTGAAGACCCGTCTGCTCTACGCGTTGGGTTGGCCAACGTTTTTTTCCCAGAGTCCCGTCCGCTCGTGCGAAGCCTCATCCCACGCTCCCCTGCCAAATCGTAACTTGGCCGTTAGCATCCACGGCTAGGCCACGTGCGAGAGGCCAGAGACAGCCACTCAAAGTAGAGTACGAGATTTGCAGGTGACATCGCCCTAGAATCCTACTAGACTCCCAAGGCGGGCAGAGACCTCAGGAACCATCCAGTCCAGCCCCCTGCCCAAAGCGGGACCCACCCCACCTCAGTCCTCCCAGCTGGTGTGGTGACCTGCCTTTCGAGTTCGGTTACGGGAACCACCGTCCTACAAGGACACCAAGTTGAAATGTCTCCATTTGGGGGCCAGTCTTCCCTGTATTAATTCTGAATTTAACAGGGGGGCCCGAGGCACGTTCTTTGAGACGTGTAACCTCGTTTTTTGTTCTCTTGAGGAGGTTCACGCTGAACCAAAGTGCCGTCAAATTCTACAATTTGAAATTGACAAAAGGTAGCCCATGATGCATGACAGGAAAAGTCGGCCGCTAACCTGTCCAATACCAGTAAGGAAGGATAAATGTGGCTCCTAGCCACAGAAAGATAGTCAAGATATTAAAAGGACTTTTTTCCATTCCCGCAGCTTTCGACTCTCATGTTTGCACAGAGCTGTGGTTTCCCCTCCTCCCAGCGGCGATCCCCCAGCCTCGGAGCAGAGACGATTAATTAACCCCAACGGGACTCATTAGTCAAACCGTGCAACTGGTTGTTACAGCCAAGGCAAAAGATCCCTGGGTATTTTGCAGAACTTTTGTCCTGGCCTTGTGAGTGTAGCCGGGACAGGAAATGGGTCTGTACCTGGTGTGGACCGTGGTCGTTTTCCGTTTCTCACCGTTCAGAGAGTTCATTTACAAGTGGACTGAGATCTCGTAGGTGGCAGAGGCAGGTGTAAGATGTCACACTACATGAGACCCAAGGGTTTGATGAGTGTCTGGACGCTCCGGACACAAATAATTCACAAACGGGAGCAGAACCTGTCCCTCCTGGGCTCCCGAAGAGACAAGTAGACCAGCAAGGATGACGCAACTGCTGTTCATGGTCCTCGCACGTAAGTCCCCTAGTGAGCAGTAGTGGGAATTAGTGTCTTTGAAGATAAACAAGAGAGAAACACGTCTCTTCTGTGGCTGGTGGGTTCCTGGAGATTCCCCTTGGTTGTGTTTGGGATTTGTGGCTGCCGTATCGGTGCTGGCTTCGCCCCAAATGCTTACAGTTATGCATCACTGGGGTCTTTCACATGGTCAGAGCGATTCAGGCCAGATGGGATCACACCACCACCCCATAACCAGATCACTCTGACAGATCTGTGTCAGGGAAGCATGGTGCATATTTTATAGGACATCTAGCTGCTCTCAAAACTCATCTTCGCACGAGTGGTTCTCCCCATGCGTACCAACGGCGCTCCAAATGCCGGCAGACGTGGGACATGTTTGAACATGATAAAATGCATTTGTGTATTCGTTTAATGAGAAAAACCACTTTGTTTGCTTGTCTCCCCACATCGCTGCCTGCGTGCAATAAATATCAAATTGAAAATGTCTTTTCCTAACTCAGCATTTCTATGAGAATGCGCTTTCTTTTCCTCAGGATCCCTATAAATCATTTCTAAGAAGCTGAAGTGCATCAAAACTCTTGCACTGCCGGACAATAGGGGCGGGTTTTGTTGTTTCTCTTTGATCAAATGGCAGGATTTGCTCAAACCGACATCGTCGGCAAGATAAGTAGTGCGTCGTGTTGGAAGGCAGAAGGAAGAGGGACATGCATAGGGATAAACCAAACAGCCACTTGATCTGAGAAATGTAGGAACAGACTCTCAGGCAACACGACCCAGAAGCTACAAAATCAGCAACAAGCTTGACGGCATTCGGTTATTGACACTTGGGCATGCCAGATCTGTAAGGTCTCCTGCAGGCCCCCACCTTCTGCACTCGAAGTGATAGAGTGGGGAACAGAACAGCCATGAGAACCCCAAACCATCCGATGCGGAGGATGACTTCATGTGAGACATAGCTTGTTATTTAATTGTAACAGAGCACAGCACATGAGCAATAACCTACAATGATTAGCAACGCCTCCCTCCCGCTTCTCGCCTCCCTCTCTAGGTCTCTCCCTCCCTCCCTCCCTCAATCCCCTTCCTATACCTCCCTCCCTCCCTCCATCCATCCACCTTCCCA